GGTGCTGAGCAGCACAAAGGGCTCGCTCCATCTGGGTCTGTAGCTGTGCACGGAAATTAGCGTCCCGTGCTGGCCCGTAGCGAACCGCTGGAGATTGTCCCCAACGACGCGGGCGGCACGGGTGGTACATATTTTCGTCAGTACGGCGATTCTCCATCTGCAAGCGGAGGCATCGGCGGTCTGCGCGTGGAAGGGCGAGGGTGGCGGTCGTGATTCGGAAAGGGGCGGTGCCGTCGGGGGGGTGGCGCCAGAGGGTGACGCCGCCACCGGCGACTTTCTGGCCGCAGGAGAGCCTGCGGGAGCCCCCGTCGAAGGTGACCTCGAACGGCCGGAGGCCCGCGTCCGCGTTAAGAGTGAGCGGACGTGGGACGCTGATCTCGTGGCCAGCGTCGACCTCGGTCAGGGTGACGAGGGACGCGTGGTGCTCGTGGCACGCAGCGCACCGCGCGACCTCCCACTGGGCAGTGGCGTACTGGCGCGGGGCGACCCTGGGCGGGGGGGAACCTGCTGGGGGACCGAGGCGGTCAGGCGCCGTGCTGGGGGTCGCCGAAGACCGCCGCGACCGGGGCGCCAGGGGGGGCGCGATGCTCCGCGACGAGGCACCGCCGAAGGGAGGCCGCGACCCGCGGGGCGGGGAAGCCCATGGCAGAGGCAGGGGACCCGCGGACCCGCCCACCAGCCTGGCGACGGGCGCAGCTGTGGCAGGCGGGAAGGAAGAGCTGCCGCGCACTCTCGGGATCGTGAGGGTGCCTGTGGGAGCAAGCTGCTTTCGGATGCAGGGTCGTTGGCGAGATCGTCGCCGATGTCGCGGGCGTTGGGTGCACGCGCGAGGAGTCCGCGGCGGATGAGGGCGGCGGCGTGCGTGGGATCGGTGGGGGGTGGCCCGAGATCAACGCAGTACTGATAGAGGGGAGGAGGAGGAGGAGGAGGAGGAGGAGGAGGAGGAGGAGGAGGAGGAGGAGGAGGAGGAGGAGGAGGAGGACGGGGCGGAGGAGGGGGCGGAGGAGGAGATGGAGACGGAAACGGTTAAGGAGGAGGGGGTTGGGGGGGGGGCTCCTTGCTGATGGCCAAGAAGGGGACCTGCCGATTGCGCTGCCTTGCAGCCTTCTCCTGCACCCGCTTGAAGAAGGGCACCCGCTCCCTCGGGGCGTTGGCCGCAACAAATCGCACAGAGTGCTCGACAGAGAGGACGACAGCGACAGCATGGTGCCGTTCATCCATTCGTCCATTCGGCCACGCGCTCGTGCATTCGCTCGTTCGCTCGCCCCTCCGCTCGTCCGTCGCTGACGCTCGAGAGTCGACGAACGAACCCACTCGGTGCGCTAGGATGCCTCACTCAGCACGCCTGAGCTCAATAAACCCCTGGTGCGATCTGCGATCGATCCCTTAAGTGATTCGATAGTCGGTGATGGTAGAGACAATCATGCTGACCGTCTTTGACACACCCCAGCATCCAAGCTGGACTGAGTGGCCGTGACCCAACGAAGAGGATACATCCTCGGATACTGTATGCTTGAAGCGACTGGACGCTTGCTACAGCAGCCTGTTGCCGAGTCAAGGAGCATGAAGAGCATCGCAGCCACTACATGTCTGACGTCAAACAGCAGCAGTCAAGATTGTCGGCTCAAGCTCCAAAACATCGCCAACGACAAGGGCAGCCACGCCGGGACCTCACAGCAGCGCGGCGGCTCGTGGCCCTCCACCCCTTCTGCATCCTGGCACACACCCCAAAGAGAACAGCGGTCCGTGGGTTGACTCTTGTGCTGCGGATGGGCGCTAGGAGCGGCCCGAACCTCTGGAACATTGCCCCGCGCCGTCGCCGCACGGAGGAGGAGGATGGGGGGAGGAGGAGGAGGAGGAGGAGGAGGAGGAGGAGGAGGAGGAGGAGGAGGAGGAGGAGGAGGAGGAGGTGGAGGAGGAGGAGGAGGAGGAGGAGGAGGAGGAGGAGGAAGAGGAGGAGCAGGAGCAGGAGGAGGAGGAGGAGGAGGAGGAGGAGGAGGAGGAGCAGGAGGAGGAGGAGGAGGAGGAGGAGGAGGAGCAGGAGGAGGAGGAGGAGGAGGAGGAAGGGGGGAGGGGGAGGAGGAAGGAGGAGGAGGAGGAGGAGGAGGAGGAGGAGGAGAGGAGGAGGAGGAGGAGGAGGAGGAGGAGGAGGAGGAGGAGGATGAGGAGGAGGAGGAGGAGGAGGAGGAGGAGGAGGAGGAGCAGGCAGGAGGAGGAGGAGGAGGAGGAGGAGGAGGAGGAGGAGGAGCAGGAGGAGAGGAGGAGGAGGAGGAGGAGGAGGAGGAGGATGAGGAGGAGGAGGAGGAGGAGGAGGGGGAGGAGGGGGAGGGGGAGGAGGAGGAGGAGGAGCAGGAGCAGGAGGAGGAGGAGGAGGAAGAGGAGGAGGAGGAGGAGGAGGAGGAGGAGACGGCCGCTGCGGCTGCCGGGGGAGGCCACGAGCCTGCTTGCGCAGCGGGCGGCGGGGATGCGGTTCGCGCGCGCGCGGCGCGGGCACGCTGGGCTGCAGGGCCCGCGGCACGGGGCTGACGGGAGGCACCCTCCTTCGAGGCGGCTTCGGCGCACAGCTCTCGCGCCACGGCTCGGCTCGAAGGGCCGCAGAGGCAGAGGGCCACCGCCACTGCAGGGGCCCAGGGGCGCGCAAACAAAGATACACGAGCCCCAAGAATCCCGACATGTTTCAATACTTTGTGGGCGTTCATCTTCACCCCAGTTCCCATGTTTTCCCAGATTTTCCTGGGAGTCGACGGTTCATTGTGTCTGTGTTTTTGTGCCCCCCTCAGCCACGCCACTCCGAGGCTCGCCTTCGGGGCCTGGGCTGCATGGATCGTGGCCCCAGCCCCCCGCGAGGCGCAGGCCTGCGGCAGGTTGGGTGTCGTGACGGCCTCCGCGCTGGGCTCTGACACCGCGTGGATGATTCAACCTTGAGAGATCGCGGCTTTCCGATAGCGCGGATCGCTTGATATCGGCCGATCCTTGCCCACTGCCGCCGCGTTCAACCTCGAACGCCCGAGCTGGGGTCGCTGCCGCGTCGACGCGGCGCGGGCCAGTCGCTCTCGAGGAGGCGGATCTCTGTCGAGGTCCAGCCCGTTTGCCCATTGCCGCGCTGAGTGCCAACCTCTGCAGGGGTACAGAACGCCGCACTCTGCCGGTCGGCCAGGAAAATCCGCCGGCCCAGCGGGCCAGAGGCGTGCTAAAATCCCTGGCAAGAGTTTCGGAACGTTTCCAGTTCGCGCGCGCGTGGCGGCCCCCAGGGGTCCCCGGACGAGAAGCATCCGTGCAAGGTCCCGGCAGGGTCGGGTCAGAGATGCCATGGGGAGCAACGATGGATGGGACTGGCGAAGGGGGGATTGCATCGACCTGGAATCGGCGATACATCGCCAATAGATCGGCGATAGGCCCCCGATAGTGAATCCGTATCTTCCTGAGCAGGTTGGGGCTATCGGGCCCCTATCGGCGATCAATGGGCGATTGGGGGTCGATGCATCCCCCCTATGCCTATCCCCCCCTGTCGTTGCCCCTGATGCCAGAACTTCTGGGCGAGGCCTCGGGGGCCCCCAGATCGGCCCAAGAAGGCACCAAACGGGTGGTAGGCCGCACGGCCTCGGGCCAAGAGCGTTCCAAGATGGCCCACGCTGGTACCAAGACGGCCCAAGAAGCGCCCAAGACGCTACAGGAGGGTTCCAAAGAACTTAGAGAGGCTCGAAAACGCAACATCATTGGTTTTGCATGGTTTTCATACGATTTGGGCAGTGCAAGCTTTTCGAGCTGGCGACCGCCCTGGACGGCCCAAGAGGCCCCAAGATCACTCCAAGGCGACCCCAAGAAGCCTCCAAGAGGGCCCCCAAATGGCCCAAGATAGCCCTAAGATGGAGGCGACCAGGACGGCCCCAGGATGGCCCCAAAAGGAGACCCAGAGGGGGGACCAAAATGGATATTTCGAGCTCCCGGCCCCAAGAAGCACCCAGGAAGCCCCCGGAGGCCCCCAAGAGCCCCCCAAGAGGCCCCAAGAGGCCCATAGAGACCCCAAAGACCCCCAACAGGACCCGAGGAAGCCCCAAGAGGTCCCCGAGAAGCCCCCAAGAGGCTCCCCAGAAGCCTCAAAACTGCTCCCCAGAGGCTCCCGAGAGCCCTTGGAAGAGACCCCAAGAAGCACCCATGAGGACTCTGACCCACAAACCCTGGTACGTATCGAAACTCTGCTGGAGCTCTCTGGAGCCATCTCAGCGCCCTCTGGGGCAGTCTGTCGGCTCTCCGAGACAGGGTGGAAGCCACATCTCTCAAGATCTGCTAGAGGACATTCCTGCCTGCCCTGCCATTCCCCCTGGGCACGACAGCACACCACCACGCAGCCCAAGTGGTGCGAAACAGGCAGCACGAAATATGATTGCGCTTTCTTAAGACGCAGCTACTGGGAGGTCTTCGTCGGAAGGATTAAGGAGGATCAACCGAGTTGGGGGGCTGTTACACCCGAGTGGGCTCTCGGATTAGCGGGGCTAAGCGGGATTAAGCGGGATTAAGCCGGAGTAAGCGGGATAAAGCCGGATAAAGCCGGATTTCGGTACCAGGGCAAAATCAGAATTTGACCTCCCAGGAGTGGCATCCGAACCTTCCTGTGCCAACCAGGAGCCGCTCAGAGGCGATCCGTGCACCGTCCCCCTGCCATGGAACGCACTCCGCGCCGTGGCGACGACGGGGCCGCCGCAGAAACCACCCAAAAAGGGCGGCACCGAAGGCGTGCGGCGGGAGCTCCGGTACCAGGGGGAAACAAAAAAACAGCCGACGTCGCTACAGCCAACCTGTAGTCAGGATGCGCGATAAGGGTGCAAGGGCCGTGGACGCGCAGTTCGAAGCGTTTCGAGCGGGGCGCGGCCAACGGCAGTGGCCGAGGATGGACCGAGGAGGCGAGGATGCAAGGGTGCCCTGGGGAAGGTTGCCCATCCTTACTATGCTGGTTGACTTTCCTCCCTGGACCTGTCTGAGGGTTCGTTCTGACCAAGATTCCGAATCCGATCCACGAAGGCCCACCAGGAGGCTGGAAAGAGCGACAAGGCGGAGGGCATCCGTAGGTGATTACTCATGCGATTTCTCCTATCATTATTTTCATCGTTGCAGCACCGCGCAGGTCGGCCGCTCGGCGGCCACACCGCCAGTACCAACGACCAGGCCGTCAAGCAAGCTGCTGCCTGCCTGGGCCTCGCTGATGTGCTCCAGGTTATCCTGCTTCACCCACCTCAGAGTGATGCCCTGCAGCTTGCCAAGCAGGGACACGTGGTACCGACGGTCGAGGGTGATTTCGACCACCTTCCCGTCGGAGCCGTTGAAGTCGCTGTTGACTACAAATCCGCGGATCTTGACCCGAGCTCCCCTCGCGAAACGCATCAACACCTGTCGGCCGGTGTCAAGGAGGTCACCACTAGAAAGCTCCCATCTCTTCCAGAGTCGAAGATCGAGGAGGAATGACCTCGGGGGGGCGGGGGGGCGGGGGGCTCCGAGGAGGTCCTCCCCCTGTGCCAAAAGGTGGGGGTGCTGACCCCCCGAATGACCCCGCTCAACGCAGAGGGCATCTATACACCACTACTGTGTAAGGAACAGGCATAATGAGGACAAATTCGGATTAGGACGAATCGGGTCTCTCTGAGGGTTGGCGAGTCTGGAGGATGCGTCGGGCGCCGCGGCCGTTCCAGAGCGCCCTGGAGCCCCCCGAGTGCGTCCCGGCATGCTCCGGCGCGATCCGGCCCTCGCCCCAGGCCTGCCAGGGCACGCCCTCCTCCTGGCCGAGGCCGCGAGGCTGTCCCTGCCTCGCCATCCTGGGGCCCGTGGCCCCGGCCACGCGCGGCCGAGCGGGAGGAGGAGGAGGAGGAGGAGGAGGAGGAGGAGGAGGAGGAGGAGGAGGAGGGCCCTTTCTGGCGCTGCCGGGACCTCCGCGGCCTCGCCGTCGGCGGCCGTGGGCGCGCGGCGCAGCCTGCAGGCGGGCGGGGACCGGGAGCGGCCCGGGGCCTCCTGCCAGGGGGCGGGCCCCGCCTCCGCCTTCCACTGCGAGGCGGAGACGTCTCCGTGGCCACCGCCTGGGGGGGATCGGTCTGCGGTGGCCTCGGGCAGGAGGCGGGCACGGAGGCGCACCGTGCAGGCCTGGCCCCCCCCCCAGGCGGTGGCACGGTGAGTGAGTCCCCGCCTGGGCCTCGGCCTTCGCCCCGGTGACCATGTTGAACAGCATCGTGCGGGAGCCCACACGCGTGTCCGCCGCCCCGCTCGCGCGACCGTGGAGGGCTGGAATGCTCACGGGTTGCCTGGAAGGGCCTCTGTGGTGCAGTGGGAACACGGCCACAAGAACGCAGGTCAAGCACATGAGACCCTTCGCCGAGTGCCCAGGGCTGGAGACACCCAAGACGAAGGAGCATTCCGAGGAGGAGAGCCTAAACACGAAGAGCATTGCAGTAACTATCCCTCCAAAACTAGGGTTGTGTTTGGTATTCGCGCAAGCTGTATCGTAATGGACGCCCCTTCCCATACCAACGACCATCGTCAGAAAACTGGTCTGCCTGGCTTTGCTCCCTGGCGCCCTTTTCGGACCGCACGCGGCTGGAAGATGGCCACATACCGCCCCCCGACTGGCCGCATGATGCCCAAAGACCAGCCCCAAACGCCCCAGCGACCCCCCAGAGGCCCGAAACTGGAAAGAATCTACATGTGCACGAGCCGCGCCGACGACCAAGCAGCCTGGGCGTCGTCGATAGAACCGCGCGCGGCGAGAGCCCGACCCTGCCCTGCCCAAGCTCCATGCCGCCACACGCGCACGGAGTGGGGAGGGAGGACAGAAGACGAAAAAGATGATGACGGAGAAAAGAGCTCCAAGAGCATGAGGAATACGTAGCAAGAAGAGAACGACGAGACAATAGGAAGTCGCACCGCGCACTCATGAGGCGCTGCCGCGCCCACAGGAAGAGAGGAGATTCGGGCTGGGATGTTTGGGGGAAGGGCTCGCCCCCGATCACAGGGAGGTGTAGCCTATAGCCCCGCTACGCACCCTGGCGGCTCACCTCCCTTCTTCGGAGGCTGCCAGGGTGTTGCTAAGGCCTCATCTCACTCTGGAGGGGTGGCGCCTCCAAACGCCATCTGCTCGAGGGCCGCAACTCCATGGTCCATAGAGGGAACTAAGGGTCCGCAACTCGAAGCTCGAGGGAGGAGGGTAACGAGGCTGCGGACAAGGAGAGGATGCTTACGATCCGCGCCAGTTCAGACAGGCCGTTGAAGTCGAGTGGGTCTTCAACCCGACCTCCTCCCTGCTGCGCTGTTGCCCTGGCACGGTCGCGGGGTTTGCCGCAGGCAGCGGGATACATGCAATCAGGCGGCGGGGGCGGCAGGTGGTCGTAGTTCGACTTCCACTTGCCGCCCGCGGCTGCCCCCTGTTGGGGGAAGCCAAGACAAATAGGTGTACCGATGACTACAGCTCCCGGCGCCAGGACCTCTCCTGGAATGCGTGTCTGACCGGGATCCCCCCGAGGCGGATACAGCCGTGACGGCAAAAGCCCCCCCAATAGGCCCTGAAGGGCGCAAGCGAGGGAAGGGCACAGTCGGGACCGATTGCAAAGGACACCCGAGTGACACAAGCCTCTTCCGAGGGCGAAACGCGCTCCAGACACGGAAAGGGCATGGCACGCGACAGACAGGACACCAAGGCACACAGGGTTTTGCAGGGTCGGCTCGATCATCAGACTCTCGCGTGCTTCTCGACCCTGTCCTCCTAATAGTCCTCACGGTGTCCCAAAACCGTTCGGTGGCAGACCGCGCGGTGACCTCGAAATCCCCAATAACCTCTCCGCTCGGTCCTTCACCGCACGGCTTTGGTGCCATTGAGGCCCCAGACACCTGAGACACTCTCGGAGAACGGCCCATTGGCCCAAGACTTAGGTCGGGCATGTCCTCCCACAGGCGGATTTGGGACGGAAAAGAGGAATTGTCAAAACGTGCTCAAAAAAAATCTAAAATGGTCCAAACATCGTCCCCAGATCATTTTTATACTATTGTTGAATACTCCTCCTGTATAGAGGGACGCGCCCGACGTAACTCAAGACCCTGCGGTCCCCCGGATCCCCACCGACTCCCGCGACCCAGCGTGGTCACCGCACCGCCGCGGGGCCCCCGAACCTCCGGTGCCAGCGCCGCGCCTCTCCCCTGGGCCGCGGCCGCGCTGGGCGCGGAGGCAGCCGAGCCCCCAGGGGCCTCGCCCCCGCCTCGGGGGTTGCTAAAGGTGCCCCTGGCCCAAGGTGCCCCTGGCTTCTCGCGTCATCTTGGGGCCCCCTCGGGCCCCCTGGGCCTCGTGAGGGATGCTCTGGAGGCCGAGGGGGCCCCCCTTGGAAGTCCTGGGGGCACCCTGGACCAGCGGCACTTCTGGCAGCACCCGACGCCGCCAGGGGCGGCGCTGCCCGCCGCGCCCGCGGCGGTGGCGGCCGCAGGCGCGCGCGGCGCCGCCCGCGTTAGGCGCGCGCGCGGTGGCGCCAGGGCGGCGGCCTCAGCGGCCGCCCTCGGCGGCGTGGGCCCGGCGGGGGCCGCGGCGGGGGCGTCGTAGTCTCTGGGCGGCGGCGCTCGCGCCCACGTCGAGGCCTGTGCGGCACGCCCCGCCCGGCCGCCGCGCCAGTCCTGGTGGGCCTGTCTTCCACAGCCACCACCACGATAAGTTGGAGGGGGGAAGGAGGAGCAAGAGGAGGAGGAGGAGGGAGGAGGAGGAGGAGGAGGAGGAGGAGGAGGGAGGAGGAGGAGGAGGAGGAGGAGGAGGAGGACCCCCTCCCCCTCCAACTTATGGTGGTGGTGGTGGTGGAAAACAGGCCCATCAAGTCCTCCCAGGAGTCGGCGGAACGCTGCAGGGGGGCGCTGAGAGGGGCACCAGAAGGCCCGCCGCGCGCGGCGCCGCCCTTCAGCGCGGAGCTGTCCATGGGCTGCTCCGGTGGGTGCGGATCGGCGCGCCGAGCGCCTTCCTTGGCCTCCTGCTTGTAGCACTGGGCGCCGTGCTCGGGCACGTCCCAGTGGCTCGTGAGGTGACACCGTTTGCAGCAGAAGCCGCCGAACCTGGAGTCGTAGTGGACCAGAAATCGGCATCCCTTACTCGCGCACCTTAGAGTCTCGCGCGCCGTCATACTGAGCATTGGCGCCCCTGGCTTGAAGCCTCGTCGGCGCGGCGTCCCTGTGACTCACAGTCGGGGCCAGGTCAACCGGCCGCTGGGTCAAGAGGATGGGAACGGCATGCGCCCTCGAAAGCAACCGGTGCCTGTCTCTCTTCCATCCGTCCCCTAATCACCTCCCCCCTCGCTGCCTGCCCTGCTTCCTGCCTGCTGGCTCAGCCATTTCTACCCCGAGCACTCACTGGCTGAAGAGAGGAACGTGCTAGTCTGCCTCTGGGGCCCGACACGATTCCCGAGCTGCGGGCTCAAAGAATGTTGTGCACAGTCAGTCAGGGCGTACGGTTCAACATTTCGCGGCATGTCGTGATACAGCTCGCTATGTTGGCTATGTTTCCTGAGCTATCTTCAGCCGGCACGCTGTGCTGACGCTTTCTCCATTCGCGGCCACGTTCCTCAGTCATCCAATGGGAGATTCATTGTGTTCCCCGTCACTCCTCTGTTCGGGCCGGGCGAAAGGGGGGGATAGCAAAGGGGGGGCTGAGAATCAGCTCATGTAGCTGATCTTCCCGGCGCCTCCCGGTGCCGGAGGCGCCCATGTATCGAGGAATGGGCCCCTCGGTGGGGCGGGGCTGAAATCAGCTGCATGCAGCAGATTTCGTAACCCCCCCTTTCCCTATCCCCCCGGGGGCCCTTCGTCCGGCCCGATCTGTGGGCTGGGGGCGGGGGGGTCGGTGAGATGGAGGCGTGGAGAAAGGAGGACAGGTCTGTTCACGAGGCTCTTGCGGGTGGCCGAGTCTGCCGCGGCCCTCTGCGCGCTGGACCAACCGTGGCGCGGTGCGCTGCCTGCGGTCAGCCGGCCTGCTGGCTCTCGCACGGGGCCCTGGCTTGCGGACGCAGTACTTCTTACCAAACCCGTTCCCTCTTCATCACGCCGGGAGTCGCCGGCGACGTCTGGACGCAAAGCGTGAGAAGCGTGCCCCCGGGGCCCCGATAGGCACCCGCTCCTCAACTGACGGCGCAGCCGCACGCAAGCCCATCCCGCCCTCCTCGCTCAGGTCGGATGAAACGGGGGGGCGGTAAAGGGGGGTGATAAAGAGGGGATTAGCGAGGCAGCTCGCGCAGCTGATTTCTCCAGCGCCGCCCGGCGACAGAGGCGCCAATGCATCGAGAAAAGAAAACCCGCGGCGGGGCGAGGCCAGCATCATATCCCTCCCCCTTTCGTCCGACCCCACTTGCGCTGCCCCGACTCCTCTCCGCGCCCACTTTTTCCCCACAGCCAAACACACTGATGGTGGTGAGGCAAGCTGGCTCAGGCCAATCAGACGGCAACCGCGACGGCAAGGACAACCAGCCACTGTGAGGCTCATGGAAAGGGTGAGCGCCTTGGCCCTCCGGCACGCGAGTGCCAAGCGAGCGGGCCACTGACGTGCCGGGCGACAGTTAGGGTAAGACACGCGCAGGTCAAGGAGGATACGGTCAGGACCCTTTGATTCGCGCGTCGTGGCGGCGGCCCCGGCGACACGCTATGCTTTGCGAGATGATGGCGTGTCGCTCCGCTTCGCGGGGAGGGAGGCTGGGGAAGGCTCGAGACGTGGACGCTCGGGGACTGGGACGCGGTTAGCGTGTCGCGCCGAGGCGTAGTGGGCCAGAATCGGCGGCGCGACACGCTAAACCAAAGATCCCGACAGTGCGTGGGCGAGCAGACAGACAAGAGCGGAATGGAGATCAACAGGAAGAAACTGACGCGTTGGACGCATTGGATTCCCGAAAACGACGACTCACGCATCAATACGGGCTGAGATACCCGAGGAGCAACGCTCCTACTGTCATACCTGGCGGCCAGAGATTGGGACGCACATTAATGGTACCCGTACTGCTTAACTTGACTCGCGTCGCTCGCACCATATCCGCCGACGAGAAAGAGATAGCAGGAAGCAGCGGTACACTCAACAACCCCTTATCTCTTACCCCCCTGTCCTACCGTGCCGTCCCGCATGCCGCGTGTCGTCCCGTGCCCGCGTACCGTGCCGTGCCCGTGCCGTGCCTATGTTTCAGAAGGCGAACAAAAATGGCGCCCACGTGCCTTGGCGTGCCCATTCCGTGCCCGTGCCGTGCGCGTGCCGTCCGTGCCTTGCTGTGCCCGCATGCCGTGCTGGGCCCGCGTGCCATGCCGCTAAGCGCGCATCTTGATGACGACTCGCTGTGTGCCTTCTCATGCCGCGGTGCTATGTAGGGACGCTGTGCTGGCGTCTGTGTCAAGACCATCTTGGTGGGTCGCGAATGAGTTGTCAGCTGGTCGGCGGGTGACTCGCGCGGCGGATCGCGGGTACCATGCGTGTGGCTCGCGGGGCAGGTCGCCGACGGGGCGCGAGGCGGATCGCAGGTGGGGGGACGCGGGTGGGTCGCGGAGCGGGGCGCGAATGGATCGCGGGTGGGTCGCGGGTGGGTCGCGGGGTGGGGCGGGGTGGGGCCGGCCGCTGCCGGCAAAGGCTGGCAGCGGCCCGCCTGCAGGGCCAGCATGCAGCGGCTGGCAAGCCCGGCAGCGGCCAGCAGCGGCTGGCAAGCTCGGCAGCAGCCTGCAGCGCACTTTTAGTGTCTGCTGTTTTTCCAAATCCTCGGGGGGGCTTTCGTGGGGGCGTTTGGGCGCCCTCCTGACAAAAGAGCGTCCAGGAGGTCCGCGAGGCCCAGGGGTCCACGAGGTCCGGTTTCACTGTTGGGGGTGGGGGCGGCCAATACAAATAAAATGACAGAAGTCGAAGAAGGACAGACAGACTCAAGCACAGACACAGAGACACAGAGACACAGACAAAGACACAGACACAGACGCAGACACAGTCACGAACACAGACGCAGACAACGACACCGACACCGACACCGACACAGACACCGAGACACCGAGACACAGACGCAGAGACAGGCAGAGAAACAACAACAGAGGCAGAGGCAGAGACATGGACAAAGACAGAGAGAGGGAGAGAAGGAGAGGGAAAGGGAGAAGGAAACAACGACGGGAATGAGCAGCAGAGACGCGCCGCAAACCGTGTGTGCGTTGCGCGGCAGCGCACCGCGCGCAGGCAGGGGCTCTGCCTGCTCGACAGCCCAGAAGGGCATACGAGGCACCCGACACTCTGAGGATCGTCAGCAGGAGAGCTGAAGGGACGCTATAATGTTCGGCCAGGCCTGTCCCCCCACAGGCGGATTTTGGAGGAAAATGCAAAATACCCCAAAATGCCCCAAAATGACAAAACAAATACTAAACAAATCGTCCCCCGACTATTTTTTTGCTATTTTTGAATATTCCCCCTGTAGAGGGACAGGCCAGACTTAACTCTAATGTCGAATGCCGGTGCATCGGCGATGCGGCGGGATCCTCCGACCCCACCTACTCGGACCCCGTCTAGGAGGCCTCTAGCATTGGGGCCTGACTGGAGGTATGGCCTGGGGGGGACGACTTGGGGAGGCTTGGTGGTCCATCTCCCGAGAATGTTAGTCACTCCCTGGGGGAACTCTCCCTGGATCCCATCCAGGAGGCCCAGACCCCCGGCCATGCCCCAACAGCCAGGCCTCACTTCTCTTTCTCTCCACAAAAGCCACCACAAGCCCTCCACGGGCCCGTGCTCGGGGAGCTCAGGCCCTGGTGCGCCGGCGCCTGGCTCTAGTCTGGGGAGGGGGCAGATGTCCGGCACTATGCTCAGGTCGGGCCTGCCCCCCTAACCAGGCGGATTGCAGACGTAAAGATTATTCTTAAGCTGTAAAAATCAAAACATTAAATGTAAAACTCAAAAATGCCACAGAAAAAGACTTCAAAACATTTCTACCTAACAGCGAAGACTGATAGGTTTCTAGTGGTGTCAAAAGAGAGCATCATGACTCCTCAGGGGGGTCGGGGCGGGACCCGGGACGGCTGCCGCCGAAGCCCAAATCGCCTGGGACATCCTCGCAAAATCGCTCTTGGCGCCGCTAGAACTCCATTCCCGGCGTACATTTTGGATGCCCGGAACCAACTGTAGGCCACTTCGTGCTCTTCGACTTCCCAGAACTCTATTCCCGGCGTACATTTTGGATGCCCAGAGCCAACTGTAGGCCACTTGGTGGTCTTCGAGTTCCCAGAACTCCATTCCCGGGCCACATTTTGGATGCCCGGAGCCAACTGTAGGCCACTAGTGTTTCTACTGCTACTACCATTGCTCCCATTACT